AGTAGATTGCATAGAACACAAGTACTAGTACATATGTACATGTAGCTGGTAATTTGGAGGGGATATAATTTCAGCCAATTAATTGCTAAATTTTTGGTAATTAGTGGATTTTATTCAGCAAAAAGTTACACGTACATGCATGTGCAAACTCCAAATTTGCCAACACAACTCTAGATACATTTACTAAAATAAATGTATCTAGAGTATAAAATTCTTTACAATCAATTTTAAAATATATATATTAAATTACATCTTCTCAACCACACCTACCGTTGGAAACCCGTTTGGCACAGACCCAATCGGAGACTCTATCAATTTCAATTTACTCGTAAACTCGTTAGCCATGCCCCCATCACCACTAGCCACGCCCCCATTATTACTAGCCATGCCTCCTTCAGACTCTGCTAACAACTCATCCTTAATATCGTTAAGTCCGTCGGAATCATCATCATCATCATCAAGCTCCTCCCCCTCACCTCGTCTCGTTATCTCATCTCCTCCAGCGACCCCGCCCCCAAATAAATCCACACTCAACGCATCATTGTCCCTTTGACCCGCTCCCACGTCTTTAGTCCCAGTTCCTCCATTACTGGCCTCCCCTTTTAAGGGGGGAAGGGTCGAAATCGGCGGTCGCCAAAATTGGAAGGTATTGAATTCGTTTGTCTCGGTCGGTGATGATAAAGAAGGATTGCTCTTAGGCGGAGTGTGGAATATCATTAGTGGCGATAGTATGTGTGGCTCCGCCCCTTTTGTGGGCGTGGTTACCTCCGAAACGACACTCGTCACAGTTTGAGTGTCTGAGGAAGTCGTGGATGTTACGAGCGGCAAGGCTCCACCCACTCCTATCAACGAGTTGTCTAATAGTTCTGATTCAGAGAGTGGTTGTATTGATGCGTCTGTTACTGATTGTTCAGTGGGTGGAGTGTAGAATGTTGATATGAACGGACCTAAGTACTGATAAGCAGCTTTACGTACCTAATGGAGGGAGAGAATTAATGAGGAGGGAAAGGAACAAAATACATATACATGTACATGTACATTTACAATATAGAGTTGATAATACAGTACATGCATAATACAATACAGTAATACAGTACATGTACAGTACATGTATGGCATTTCAAAGTACATACAGTACCAAAGAATAAGGTGGTCAAAGATGGACACAAAACCAACTTGAACACTTTCAAATAAAATTGAACCTCTTCCTTCCACTTTTACATGTACACTGGAGTTTGCATTCTCTTATCATGATTGTACATATGATCACTACTCTTTAGTTTACAAATGAATACATTCCATGTACATGTATTTCTCCCCCTCTCCCTTCTTTTCTTCTTCTCTCCCTCTCTCACCCATCTTGAGTCATCCTTGAGTAAGTGTAAGAAGACTGGAGTGAGTCTCTCTTGTCTTGATAATAATGAGCAACCCAGAGACACATCCATGAACACATCAGCACACGCCTAATGAGAACAACAAGGACTCATCCACTCATTTACATGTACATGACATATAGATATGTATACTGGATGTATTTTATAATAACAACAATAAGGATCATTTATATTACATGTACATGCATGTGATATTTATTGGTTAATTACTGTCTTCATGCAGTATTCATGTCACCATTCAATTGATAATAAGAACAATGACAATGTTTTCTTACTTTTCTAACTCCCCAGACTTCATCTTTACACAACTGAATGAAATATGGTAACGAGAGAGAGAGAGAGAGAGAGAGAGAGAGAGAGAGAGAGAGAGAAAGAGAGAGGGAGAGAGGGAGGGAGGGGAGTAAAAGGAATGAAGACAGATACATGTGTACATGTATATACATGCTAATAGTTACTGAATGTACAATATAAAATGTTGGCATAATTTTTGCTTGGGGATTTCTCCAATTGGCAGATGTACAGTAGATTGTATGCAGAAAAAAACAAAACATATTCTATTTAATACATGGACTGTACTACTCATGTACAAACCAAATATACTTGTACATATAAACTCTATAAAATATACTCACAATAACTTCCTCAGTTGATGCTGGCCCTATTACTGAACACAAGTCTTTACAGCATATAGCAAAGGACTGAAATATACAGAGATAGTATACAAGAGTATACTGAGATGCACAAACGTTACCTTTCTCACATGGAACATGGCATCAGATGCTAAAGCTGGTAACTGTGGAACAAACTCAGACACACAGACCTCTTGACCGAGAAATGACGCTACTCGACCAATTAACTGTAAAATAAAGACACACCCACTTGGTGACCACACCCATTAATTATATATTGTACCATTACAGTGTCCATTCTAAGGTCGTAGGTTTCTTCTTTCCCGAGACACTTCCTCACCATCGGACACAACTGGGACACCAAACTATCTGGAATTTAAAAAAATCATAATAATTTATAATAATTTTAGAAATGAAATAGCAGATATTGCATGTACATGTAATTTACATAATAACAGTCACACTGTAAATTGGTCATAATTAAGTCTGTCCTCATAATGTACATGTATATTCATTCTAACTACATATACATGTACATATTAAGACATACATGTATACATGTTAAGCTGAGCTTCTCTCTTTTTCACACGCAGGTTTGAGGTTTATCCTACTCCAGTATGTACCGTATAAGTATATAAATTGTATTTTATTTTCCCAAATTTTGCGGTCTCTTGCTCAGTCATTTCCATTGTCACATGGTGCAGTCTGCAATTTATTCGCAAAAATTAATTCCGTGAAATCTCAGAAATGCAAGATTTGCAAAAAATTTTCTGCCGTAAAAATAAACCGTTATACGGTATATTTATAGTCACAGACTCTGAGGCACCACTTCTGTCATTCCATTTCCTTAAAAGAGAGTGCTAACTTTCACAGTGGCTTTTGCTACAATAACTATAACTGGGAAGAAATGGAAGAGGCCACAGGTGAGGAGATTATTCTCGAGGAGATTCAGGATCTTACAGAAGATCAATTCGAAAGAGCTCTAGAGATAGCCAAAGAAGAAGAAGAAGGTATCAATAGCGATCTACATTTTTTGCTACTTGGAAGGCCTGGGGTGGGAAAATCAACTTTTGCTGGAGAGCTCACAGGAGGGAAAATCAAGGGCAGTTCTGGACCTACTGGGGGAACAAAGAGCAGTAATAAACCAGGACAATGGAGGCACATTAAAACAGAGAAAATGGAAGAAGCGAATTCCACAAAATTAGATGGATCTAACACAAAAAAAGTCTACTTTGTTCACGATACTGTTGGCCTGGGTCATGCTACACTTGACCTGGATGAAATGAAGCATGAAGCTAAAGAAGTCTGTGAGCAAAGTGGTCACTGCAGTGTATTTCTGTGCTTAGGCTGGGAAGATAGGATGGATGATATTAATACAGAGAGAGCATTTGATGTATGCCACTCTCTCAATGTGTGGGAAAATGTTGTTGTCGTTATTACAAAATGCGATTCAAATTCTCAAGATTCTGATCCCAATTCTGAAGAATCTTTAAGAATCAAAGAACAAAAGCTTCTTTGGAAGCAAAGTATTAAAGATAAGTTGGAGTCAATAAATGTTGAAGGCTCAGAAATTGCAAAGATTACAGAAAAAATCATTTTTTATCCTAACAAAAAAATTGCAGTAGGTCGTTTTACTTGGCTCAGAACCCTAATGCAACGATTGAAGGATATAATAATTCGGTCTGGAGCAAACCTCGGACTTTCACTATCTGGTGGAATAAGTATAGTGCTGAGTTTTGTTGGACAAAACATAGCAGAATCTAATGATCTTGCTTCACTCAGCTGTATCCAATCTTCTGATAGTCATCAAGTACGTGTACAAGAAGTTGCTGGGCCCAATCAAAATATTGATGATACACGTGTATCCTCTAAAAATAGCCAGAAATTGAAAAAAATTATAATGTTTTTTCAGGAGAAATCAAAAGCTATAGCAGCAACAATATATGGGGGAAGTTTAGTTGGAGGAGGAGCTATTGGAGGAGGAGCTATTGGAGGGCTGATAGGAGCCTTTGCTATTGGAGGAGGAGCAGCAGCAATTACCGGAGGAGTAGCTATTGGTGTTGCCACTGGTGGCATTGGTGTTGCTGCTGTGATCATTATAGCACTGATTGCCTATTTCTGTTTGAAAGATTAACAAACTCTTCTAGTCTACATAGACTGTGCTCTAGTGTGTAGTGAGTGTGGGTGATTTTATTATTTTTTAATTTTTTAGGTGTTTTAATAATATTTAGAATAAAATTATTAATAAATACCAAGTGTCAAAGTTAAATTTGCAAGCGTGCTAAGCAAAGTTCAGCTACAATGTAATTGCACAAGAATTGCTAGTTTAAATTGTTCGTATAATTGCTAGTAATGACATACGCAATTACACATGTACATGTAGCATACAGTAAGCATAAAATGAAGTATCTGTACATGTACACTACCATATATCTGGTAATTTTCATTGGAGAAAATTTTCAGACAGAAAAAAATTCATGTATTTTTATTTTCGCACAGTGGTTCCTGTCCGAAAATTAACAACATACAAAATTTTAAAGATCTTATAAAGGATCCCACAGAGCGTCTCTGTTTGAGAAGCTACCATGCTTATAAGACTGTCTGCCAACTGCTGTAGGAGACTAGGAGAGATACTTTAATTGGAAGAAACAAAGCAGCACCATTTTGTGATGATAGTGCCATGTGTCTTGACAATGCACGTGACATCTGCATGCATTGCCATGCAAAACTTTCGCATGAATAAATTAATTTTCATGAATTTTAATTTTGCACAAAGCCATGCATCCGAAAATTAAATACAGACGAAAATTTCCAGATATACGGTATACAGT